TATGCCTTTGCTCCAAGGTATTGCATTTGTGTGTACTTAAGAATTATTACATTCGGGGCTGCAGAGACAGCTCAGTGGTTAAGAGCACTGGCTGCTCTTGCAGAAGACCTGGGTTTGATTCTTAGCACCTACATGGTGGCTGACAACCATCCATAACTACAGTTCCAGGGGATATGACACCCTTTCCTGAACTCTGTGGGCATTGCATGACGTGGGTATACTTACAACACATACCGGGAAGACACTCATACACATAAAATAAAAATAATAAGATATATTTTAAAAGAATTATTGCATCCAAGTGTTAGGAGAGAAAGTTACACATACTTTTACTTTTGAACAAAGTCCTCCTTCCAGATGTTCTGATTTGTCTCAGTGCTAATCTCAGAATCACTAAGCTAATTTCTTTCCCATGACAATAATCCATGACAAATCAAATAATCTTGTCTATTCTTTCTTAATGGTACATTTCAAAATATCAGTTTTGAGCTCTATTTGAAATTATGGATAACAATTTGAACTTCATTATCCCTTAATTTTTATTAATGTAAAAGAAAAAGGAATTGGAGGCTAGGCTGGTAACCATTATAGTCCCTAAAATCATGTGATTTGGCACTTATATGAGTCTGTCCTCAGTATGTACCATCTTTTTCATTTCATATATGAATCATGGAGCAAATATAGATGCTTCACAAATTACCATGGAATTGAATCCCAATTAAGTCCATCAAAAGCTGAAAATATCTCAAGTTGGACATGCATTTAATGCATATGACATACTGAACATCATAGCATAGCCACATGGTACACTGTAGTATTGGTGGTTGTTTCCTCTCTTCTCGTGATTGTGTGGTCAACTGGGAGCTCCGGCTTGTTGCCACTGCCCAGTATCACAAGAGACTATTGTATTGCTAGACTGGGAAAAGGTCAAGATTCAAATTTTTGAAGTACAATTTCTACTGAATTTGTATTATTCTTATAGCATTATAAAGTTGAATAATTGTGTTGAACCATTATGATTTGTGGACCACTTAACTCTTTTCTGTTCACCCAGCTCCGCTACATCTCACACCTGCACCCTCACCTGAGTCTCCTCTAAACCTCCAGTGCCCTCATACCCAAGCCCTTGCTTCAACTCTTTCAGTCTGCCATTGCTGGCTTGGGAGCATGCAAACTGAGTGTGAGTGTGGGATTCAGGGCTCTGCCTTTTGGTCCAAATCACCCCTTTCATTTTATCACCTGTCTCTCTGTCATACAAATCTGCAACTTCCAATCGAAGTGGGCTAATAAAACTTGCCTATGTGAGACAGCCCTGTGTCCATTCCTTGCTTATTTAGAATATCTTCTGTAGTCCTTATTGAATGCCATCTGTCCTCCACCACTGAACTAAGATTGTATGGTGCTCCTGACCTCCATTAAGGTATCTTCAATGCATTTTCTCTTATGTACTCATTGATCTAGCCACAGCAGAGTCTTCCTAACAGTTAACATCAATACAAGTCACTATTTTAAGACATTAATTATACAATATTAAATACTACTTACTTTGATATATCAGGACATATATTTAGTCTATTTTCAGCACGACAGTAAGAAGGCTTACAATGGAGACCTCATAAAACTGCACACCAGTGAAAAAAGAAAGTGAAAACACAAATCTACACATTGGAGAAAATAAAATGGATTGACAAAATTTAAAATCTAGCTACATGTTTCCTAGCAGTCCAGGCAAATTAGAGAACTCATTAATTATTTGAAGTGGTTTTGTGTATGTTTAAGGTTAAAAAAATTTGTGCACATCTTGTCTCACTAACAGTTATTTCTGTATCTGCTGGATTTAAGAAATAAGTAGCAAGCATCCAGTCTAGCATGTCATAACAATGTAATAAATTGATTGGTAACTAGTAAGATCTCAGAATCTTAAATTTTAAAGCATTTGATTTACCTTCAAAACTCAAGTCAACATGTAATAAGTATATGAATGAAATGTGAAAATAAGAAAACCTAGAAATATCAGAGAGAGAATGCAGGGTTTAACCACTTCAGTTAGAGAAAATTTGAGAAGATAGCTACAATCACAGTATTTTGAGGTGCAGGTCTGCATACGTATATCATTATGTGGAATGGCAAACCTCTACATTACTGGCAATCAATTCTACCTTTAAGTTGATATCCTTACCGTGAGTTAGTAGGTGACCACGCCCCACTGTCATGAATATAAGTGCAGAGCACTCATTGCTTCTGAGGCTGTTCCTCCCTCCACAGCTGTTTTATAAGACTGACAGGCTATGAACAGATACGGCACACTGTTCTTCACACTTTACATTTGGGTCTCATTTTTTTCTGCATGTAGAGGGTATTTTTTAAACTTGATATGGAGGTGTATGGAGCAGGGGACACTCTAGGCAGACACTGTTCAGCAGTGATTCCTTGGGATGGAAAGTTTTGATAGCTGTGCTATCTCTATTGAGCATATGAAATATGGAGCGTGTGGCTGAGGAACTGAACTCTAAACTTTACATAGTACTAATTACACCCTTTACATTGGAATCCCTGCGAGAGACAACAGCATTGAACAGAGCAGCTTTTACAAGGAGGCTGGCTTCTATGACAGGCCTTTCCTTACTTGTTTCTAATCTTTAATGTCAGAGACTGTTGATGCTATTTATTAGGACGTTATAAGCTACCATGCACTCATAGTAAAGCTTGATATCTTTATTTTAAGAGGTTTGGGGTGTCTTTAAGAAATGCATGTTGTCAAAAGTAAATTTTAAGGGAATTTATTATTTATTGTCATTAAAACAAAGAGATGACCATCCCTGTTCCTATTGTTACATTTGTGTGTAGAATCAAAGATAAAACTTTATAAAATAGAAGTCTCAATTGGGCCTGATGGCTCAGGCTTTAATCTCAGGACTAGGGAAATGGAGCCAAGAAGATCATCCAGCCTATCCTGAGCTACATAGCTAGTTATAGGCTATCCTGAGCTACATAGCAAGACCTTGTCTCAAAACCAAAGCCAAAACCAACCCCTCAAACCAATTCCCCTCCCCAAATAAAACCCCTAAACAAAAGCAACTCCCCAACCAAAAAAACCGAAGAAAACAAAATAAAACAAAAGATGAGATGTTCCCATAAGAGGTAGGCAGGAAGCTAGCACTGTATGGGAAGAGCAGGCACTTTTAGCCTGTGCCTCTCTCTGTAAGGCATTCTCCTAAGGGCTCTTAGACAGGGCATCTTATAAATGGCCCTGCCAAATTCTTTCCCTAGGTGGATTGTTCTTGTCTTTCTGACTTTGTTTTGCTCATAGTTCTGTGAGCAAGTAGGAGGATGTGGGTTCTTTAGGCCAGCAGAGGCTTGCTGTAGTTCTTTCTTTTAATTTCTTTAATTTGAGGATCCCCACACTTGCTCTTTGAAATGCTGTTTTGTAAACTCTATTTCCTCCAAGTCTGTTATGCTTTTTTTCCATCTGTGTTGAAGTCTCTTTTCCCAGTGGGGCCTTTCTTTCTCCACTTAGTCATGCTATGTGTAGAGACCCACATCCACACTGCTGGGCTTTCTGACTCATCCCGGGAGGGTAGTTTGCTCCAGGGAATCCTGCTCCCAGCACAGTGCAACAACAGGGAGGATCCAGTGAAGGGAGGGGATGTGAAATCTGCATTTTCTTACCAGTCCTCCTTCCTGTCCAAAGCTGCCCAAGAAAGGGGGAGAGCAAGTGCCCTTTCCCCCATTAAGGTAATGTTTTTAATAAATCTAACTTCCAGTTTCTAAGGTACTTTTGCTGCTGCTGCTGTTTTTATATATTCCATAACCTGGCTAGGACAAAAACACAGGAATGCTCTAATTTTTTTTCCCTATACCAGAAGCCAAGTGAGTCAATTGTGACAGCTATGCTTTCCTTCCAGTTGCAGATGAAACAGTTCCCCTTTCTGAAATATATTATTCATAAAGGTGAACACTGCACTGGAGGCACTCCCATTCACAGGTAGGAGGCAGTGGGGGAAGCTGCTTGTCTCTCATCATTAGCTCAGGGGCTGTAAGGACTGCATCTTCCCACTGGAACCCTGGAGGCCAGGATTTTCCTTGGCCCTCCTGGCCACTCAAAGAAAGCCCTTTGCCAAGGACAGCTTAAGTCCATGATTTCTCAACCCACTTGGGTTCAGACAATAAATTCCTCCAAATAGATTTGCTGAAAGGGTCAAAGTTGAATAATAGAATAATGAAAAACGGACTGCTGTGACAGGTCTGCATATGACCAACAACCCAGGAAGGTAATGTATCTTTAATCCCACCAAGCCCATCCTGAAAGTATAAAAAGGAACTCCAACCTGAATGTTCTTTTAGCCCAGGGTAGGCTGACCTAGGTTGTCACTACAGATGCAACTTTCCACATATAACTAGAAGGATCCAGAAGACCGGAGATACATGTTATTTTCAGTTTGGGGAATTGGTTTAATTATATATGTGTTATGTTCTCATAGTTAAGATACATACAATGTAATATGTATATATATAATCTGTACCTGTATATCCACATACATTGTTATTAGATTTAAGGGTTTCCCTATTTGGATTGTTTTAGCTGAGGGAATATGCCTGTTCTGTATTCTGACTTTCATCCATGGCACAGTCCTAATTATTTTACCTCCTTAATTCCACATGCAAAGAGACCTGTTGTTGGAGTTTTAACCTGATAATAGCCCACATCATCTCTCCTTCCTAAGGAATGTAGGTGGGCCCAGCCGTGACTGAAGACAGGAGGTTCCTTTGCCTGAAAAAAGTGTAACTATATGAACGCCTAAAACACTAACTTTAGCCAAATTCCTGCTGAACTAGCCAGTTGGAGCAGGCAGGGAGGTGCGACATTTCTGACAACGCAGTGACTCCCCCACACCAAGACCAAGAAACAGTGCGTGCTTAATGAAGCTATGCAAGGATGCACAATTGCTTGTGGGAAGATGGGCTGTGGGGCCCACACAGCGACCCCCACCAGGGCTTACCTTGACCACGTCGTCGTTGAGATGCTTGGGGTCGCGATTGACCAGGTCGATCTCCTTGGTGTGAGCGTCGTACACTTGCTTCTCGTTCATGTCGTCTGCCATGGTCTTGTTGTTGGGCTTGTATATGTTGCCCTGTTCCCGGATGGGAACAGTGTAGAGATGTCCCTGTGAAGGGTAGCCGGCCAAGGAAGGGGAGGGCAGCAACCGCAGTGGGAAAAAAGTTCAGAAAGAAAAACAAGCGTCAGAAGTGAGCGTGGCGGCGCAGGGATCCTTCAGCTCCAAGTTCAACTAGCTTCAGCAGCGAAGGCTTTGCTCACAGAAACTCCTGGGCGCTTCAAGCTTTTTAAGAGGACCGAGGGGAGGACACCACACCCCTTGGTACCAGGCAGGGAGCGCCTGCCTCCGGCGCCCGCCGCCAGGGGTCAGGCCAAACCCCACCGCGCGCCCACAGGGCCCTCCATCCCCGCCGCGACCGGGTGCCCAAGGGACAGCTCTCAGCGTCCTTGGTAGCCTTCTCTCTCCCACGCAACCCTGGACCCCACAGCTTCACTTGCTCCACAGTCCCACCCTGGTCTTCTTAACCCTGTCTCGCGATCCCTCCTGGTGTGATCCTTAAGATCTCTCCTGACACACTCAACGCCCCCATCTTCGGTGCTCCTTGGCGCGTCCCCCTTGCACCTGCAGCTCCCCCACACTTCCTCTACGCGCTTTTGTCACTCCACGGTTTCCCCTATGGGGGTGGAGGATCACAGTCCCGCATACTTCCATCTCTGGGCCGAGCCATATGCCAGATCCCCTAAAAGCCCCTTCTCACCTGTGGGTCTGCCCAAGGTTGAACCGCAGACGGGTTTGGGAACCGAAATCTCCACACTCAGGCTGCCTGAGCGCCAAAAAGGGGCTCGCCAGTAGCCAAGGTAACTGAGAGGAAGGGGGCACCCCCACCTCCACCTCGGAACACCCCTGTCTCCTGCCCAGAGACAGAAAGAATTCTTGAAGTGCTCAGAGAAGTTTGCAAAGTGTAAACACACGCGCGCCACCGCCCAGGCCGGCTACGTTTGGCGCCTGGTGGGGACTGTTCTCAGGAGTGCGGGCAAATGACCCCCGACTCTGAGCTCCAGCTCTCCGCCTCCTAGTAGGCTGGGGCTGGACCACCGAGGTCCTTGACCAGTGAGCACCCTGAACCCATCTGGAAAAGGCATCTTCCGCCCGGCAGACCCCTAGCGCAGGACCCGTGTCCCCCTTTCCCTTGGGCTCCCTTGGTCCCCTCTCCAAAAGGGAAAACTTAAGACATTCCTGGCTTCTCTTCACCTCCCCGCCCCGGCCCATTCTTTGGCCGTGCCAGCACGAGGGGAGTGCTGCGAAGTGGAGAGAGGACTGGGGCACCGAAAGCAGCCAGAGCATTTGGAGTGGGAGATAGCAAGAAGCAGGCACTCCCCAGCAAACGCGCCGCACCCCAGCCTACCTCGGAGTCTACGTATTTGCCCCCAGACATGCTGGCGCGTGGCTGGATGCAGGCTCTGAGGAGGTTTCCCTGGGTTGTGATTTAATAGAACTGAGGAAGGAAGATCTTGTATTGTATGGGGGGAAAAGGCGCTGGCGGGGGGCGGGAGCAGGGAGGGAGCCTCCTGGAGAGCGGCCAGAAGTTTGTTCTGCACACAGTTGGCTGGGACGTGCGCTGCGCCGGGTCTAGGCACATCCCCGAGGTTCTGGCAGCAGAGGGCGGGGAGCGCCCGCGGGAAGCCGAGAGCAAGAGAGAAGGCGTTCAGCAGCCTGGACTGTTTGGGCAGTTATTTTAGACTCCGGGCAACATTTTCCCAGCTATAAACCAACGGAGAGGCGTCCCGAGGAGAGCGAATGTTTTCCCAATGCATCATCCCAGTAGGGGTGAAGGGAGCCCTGGAGCCGGCAGAGATCCCTGTATGGGCATCCGGGCGGGCAGAAAGAATTCTGCCCTGTCTTAGCCACTTACACCCTTCTTCCACATTCCATTGCTGACTAAGACTTATGTCTCCCCGTTTCACAGAGGAAGGGATGAAAAATGGCTGGGAACCTGAAGGTGTAACTGGCCTAGTAGAAACAGATACTTTAGAGACACTTTCATGTCTATCAGACTATTCAAAAACTCGACGCCAAAGAAATGGGAATTTCCCTAGGAATCTCGTGTTAGGAGAAGGAGAAGATGCCAGCCAGAGAGGGAACTTGTCTTCCAGAGATTCCACACAGTTCTCACAATGATGGGGGGTGGTGGGTGTGTTTGGACACCTTGGCCTAGGCTGCTTACACCTGCATATATAAACTTCAATCTCACCTCAGGACCTGGAAGGTGAACTTGGGGGTTCAATGGATCGCTTTGTCCCTCTTCCCAATGTGGCCAACGTTAAATACATTTTCTTTTTCTGCTTTCTGCTATTAACTTGCCTGTTGAAAGACTGGCTTATTGAGGATGGGGGTGGAACTTGGCTTGGGCACTGGCTGTGTCCCCTAAGTTTGATAACAAAATGGTGACTGTGAGGGAACAAAAGGCTCATTTTTGGAGTGTCTGCCACTCAAAGTGAGCTGTTCTGCCTGTGTAGAGGAGAGATGGAAGGTTTCAGTAGCTGCTGGAGTCATTTTACTCCAGGGGTATTTGCTTATATGTCCACTTCAGCCAGCATCAGCTGCATTTTAACTCTACTTGGTGAAGTAGAAAAGCGAGTTTGAATTTTGGTTTGGATTCTGGAGAGAATCTGACCCTTGGTAAGTGTATCTCCAGTTGATGCTTCAAGCTTGGCTTGGCTTTCCTGTTTGGATTCTTTTGAGGAGTTTGGGGTTCTTTTGAAGCATTTGGGGTGATTGACTTGCCTTTCAGGGTAAAATTCTGTTGGGTTACTGTTGTTAAATAGAGAAACACTGAGACCTTGGAGGTGGGAAGAGAGTGAAAGCTCTGGAAGGTACTGGGAACCTGACCATAACTCAGAAACTACAGACACAGGATAACATTGCTGTGCCATTCCTGCAGTTGGAGGGTTCTGGTAGGCATGGTTAGGTCTCCTTTGTCTTGGGTTTGCTTTTTCCCTGCTGAGACCTGTGTCATTGAAGGCCTGCCTTTCTTGTAGAAGGTTGTCAGCTTTAGAAGGGCACATGGCTTGGTTTCTTTGGGTTATGAGATCTGACTTTCTAGAGTGACCATGTCTTATAGGGACAGGACTATAATCTAACAATAATGACATTGCTAGAACAGGCCTTGCCAATTAGGAAGCTCTTTTGAGCAGACTTGGAGTTCTTTAGAAATATTTGGGGCTTCTGCCATTTGACAGAAAAGTTTTGGCACGGTACTGAGCCACTGGGGTTCTGTTGAATCATTTAAAATAGGGACAAGGTATAGGGGAGATCTCTGCTGTGAACTCTGTAATCATGAAAACATCAAGTCCTTCCTACTTTGGTACCACTTAGGGAGAATTGCAACAGACTAGTATTTTATCAACTGCATGATTTCTAAGACTGTAATAAGGCAAAAACTAATGCCTCTGGAACTCCTGAAAAGAAAACTCTGGTACTTCAGCTTTGCATTTCCTTCTTTTAACTTGTGGCTACTGGAAATCATGATTGGTGCATCTGATCCCTTGGAACTGGAGTTTCAGATGGTAGTTAGAGGCCACGTGGGTGCTGGGAGCCAAACCTGGGTTCTCTGCAAGTCAGTGCTCTTAACCACTGAGCAATCTCTCTAGCCCTAAAAAGATTTTTCTTAAGTTAGTTTATTTATTTATATTTATTTAAAAGTTTTTACTACAAATTTATTTTATTTTTATTTTATGTATTTGAACATTTTACCTGCATGCATGGAAGTGTAACATACATGCATGCAGTGCCCTTGGAGGTCAGAAGAGGGTTTTGGATCAATGGAAATGAAGTTACAGATGGTTGTTAACCATAATGTGGGTGCTGGAAACTGAACTCAACTTTGTAAGAGCAGTCAGTGCTCTTACCTGCTGAGCCATTTCTCCAGTGATTTTTCGGTTTGTTTGTTTTGTTTTTATTTTTTTGAATTAAAACCCAAACAAGCAAACAGGATCAGGAAGGAACAATAGTTGTGTAATGTTATAATCTTTTGGACAAATTGAATTTCCATGTCATCTCCCAGGACCAGTGATGAAACTCAAGATTATGATTCTTCTGTAGTTGTCTGTGTTACTTTGAAAAATGAGAGCTCAGACCCAAAGGTGATTATATAAGATGGGTCAACCTTCATTTTCTTCTAAGCTTGTTAATGGCTGTCTCCTATCTAAATGTAAATAGTTTGCTGTATACGTGCATTTTAAAATAATTAAGATAAAAACAGCATCATTCACAAAAAATGCACTGTTAGATTTAGAGTCTATGTTCATTATGTTGCTGGAATTTGGGGGTTCCTTCGTGGTCGCTAGATGACACAGGGGAAATCGGGTTCTCTTCTTTGGGTCCTTAGTCTCATTAATAAAAGAATTAAAGAATGTCCTGAAATGGAACCTTAAGGACAATTTTATGAGAGTTTAAAAAACCTCTCTGTAACTCCCGTTTTAGGGGATCCAACACCCTCTTCTGCCACCTGTGAGCATCACATGCATGTGATATGCTTACATACATGCAAGGAAAATATTCATCCACATAAAATAAAAATAAAAAGAAAGAAAAATCCTCTGGGCAATCAAGCTGTAAATCTCAACCGCTATCTAGGGGAGGAAAACAGAAGGGAGAAGGAAAAAACCCACAGCTGGCATGAAGGTCAGACACATGGTGGACTAATGACCACTTGGTGGGGAGGGGAGCTTTAGAGGAAGAGTAAGGAAACCCAAATTGTTAGGGAAAGCAATCCTTAGAAAAGAGAAAGGAGAAAAAGAGAGGTTGTACTTTTCCGAAGAATCCAGAAAAGTGGCCAGACTTAAGAAGCCACACATCTGCAGCCTAGTAAGCTACTGCTTACTAGGAAGGAAAGGACATTACCTCATTAAAGAACTAATTCTGCCAGTTTCTTTACCATGGCAAGGTGAGAACACCATTTTTAGGATGGTCCCTTGGTCAGGTGATTGAGTATGCCCAACTGGAATGCTATGTGCCCACTGAGGCTATTCCCTTGACCAAGTTTATCTATTTTAAAACTGGTAATGTTCTAATATAAAGATACCAATGTAAAACTAAAACCTAATTACGGTGTCTAAAGCAACAAGCCATTATTAAAGAGATTGTTTTGCTCTTTGTGATAAACTTAAGAGGAAATGTTATATTTTACTAAAAAAAAATGTCTTATGATTTTTTTTTTCAAATAGCCAAGTTCAGTGGATGGATCCACACTGTCCTTCAGGGACTCTATAGGCCTCTCCTTCTCTCTTTCTTTCCTACTCTCTTTCTCTATCTATCTATCTATCTATCTATCTATCTATCTATCTATCATCTATCTTCTATCTATCTACATGTAAATATACATAATACAGTATATGAAATTGGGCAGGGATAGTAGGGGGTGCATATAGGGGAGGGAATCTAAATATATTGAATGAAATATGCAAAAATTCAATTAAAATGTTCTTTATATTTAAAAAATACTTTATATTTCCTGCTGTTTGTGATTCATTCTTTTGGCTCCTTAGGAAATTATCTTAATAAATTCAAGATTCATCTAGGTATTGGTCTGTGCTGAAGTCTTTTAAATGATCACTTTGTAAGTAACTACTTTAAATTGATTTTAGTGCATTTAATGCCCCATACATCTGATTAGAAACACGTTTAGCTGTGTATCTAAACTTTATATATTACACAAAATTTACTCACTCAAAAACATGTAAGGTGCCAGGCATGGTGGCACACCTTTATTCTCAGGAGCAGAGGCAGATGGATCTCTGTGAGATTGAGGCCAACCTGGTCTACATAGCAAGTTCCAGGTTAGCTACAGGGAGACCCTGTCTCAATAAACTAAAATACCAAAGCTAACTCCCCATACCAAATCAACCCCCACCAAAACATGTAATGTTAATACCCACCCAGTAACTAACAAGTGCTGTTGCTTAGCACAGTGCCATCACTGTGGCAAGCTAGAGACAGCCTGAGCAATGGACACAGCAGGCCAAAACATGGCCCAGCTTCCCTTGGTCATGGGCCTGGCAGAATGATGGACACTAACCCCATTGAGGATAGAAAGTACAAAAAAGCCCCATGAATACACCCTGGATGAGAAAGAGAGAGCTTATAGAGACTGTGGATTATGGAGGACTGACAAAAACAATTCTATCCACACTATTGCATGTAACTTTGCTCTTTTAAAGGAACCACTGATGCAAATGACAGAGTCTCTTCATGATGTACTGACCTTGCTAACACTTTTTCTTTAGTCTTCTGGCTACTGACTCCTGCAACTAACTGGTATCTGCTTAAAATGGATAATTATGGGTCTTAGGAGACCCTATCAGCCACTGTGAAAAGGTTTTGTTACATGTAATGATGACCTATTAGGGTCTTGCAGACTTAAAAAGGCACCTAAAAATTGCCTCTCAACAATCTTACTATTTAAAACCTGGTATATACCAGTTTATTCTGACAAAGATTAACATTTTGCTATTTCATATATGAGATGTACATAATCTGTAATAGCTGACAATGATCACTAAAATGGTAAGAGATTTTAAAAGTTGATTATCAGTGCTATAAAGTTTGTCTGCCAAATCTAAACTGAGGATTCTAAATTTCGCTTTGGAATTAGATTCTCTATAATTCTGTGTAGTGATGCTAATTATTTCTGACTCTTACAT